TGATTTTCAATTTAGTATTTATTCGTGTCTGTCTGTATGTTTATTTTTTATTTATTTATTTACATATAAAAAGTTCTTACATTCTTGTACAGCCACTAGCACGCATAGCGTTTCAGGCGGGTCCCTTAATCCTAATTTCCATGCGCACACACCCCCAGAAAGCAGTCCGTAGCAGCTGTCTAACTCCCAGGTACCTATTTACTGCTAAATGAACAGCTTCATCAGGGTGAAAGAAACTCTGCCCACTTGTTTCCGCCTCCGCCGGAGATAGAACCCGGACCCTTGGGACTACGAACCCTGAGTTCTGTCCACTCAGCCGTATGGGCCCCCCAAATATCTTTAATAATGTCTATATATTTTTCATCCCTTCCTCTTTCGTTATTTTTGTTTCTCCTCTTTTCTTTCCATCTCGTACATATAATATATACATATTTCCTTTCATATGTTAAGCCAGGTGTGTTTTATGTGTGGGGGACATAATAAGTAATATAATTGAAGTCGAATTCAAGAAAAATACTAATTATATAAGCAAAAAAAATGAAAAAAAGATATACAAGTTGATTAAAGCAAAAAAAAAAAGGATTTTGCTCTAGATTAGGTTACACTATTAACCTAATCTAAATCAAATGTAAGTTGGGTTAGGTTAAGCTGGTTAGATTAGAAGTTTGTTAGGCAAGATTATGATAAGGTAAAGTTAGGCTTGGTTGAGTTAGGTTAAGTTACGTAATGTAACGTTGGGATAGGCTAGGCTAGGTAAGGTTACGTTACGAGCGGTTAACTTAGGTATAAAGTCCAGGAGTTAATGTTTGGTGTCGAGGATAGTGAAGGAGTTTGGCAACGATGGATGTCGCATTCTTCGCCTTCTCGCTCCCTTTCCATCTTGCTCTCCCTTCTCCCTCCCGCCCTCCCTCTCCCTCTCTCTCTCTCTCTCTCTCTCTCTCTCTCTCTCTCTCTCTCTCTCTCTCTCTCTCTCTCTCTCTCTCTCTCTCTCTCTCTCTCTCTCTCTCTCTCTCTCTCTCTCTCTCTCTCCTCACACTGACAGGTACAAGAACGCCCACTCAATCCCTCTAGCCGTAAATCCCTCTTCATTAGCACTAAATGCTCTCCAATTATCCCTACGAAAATCCTGCTCTTATCCTTTACCCATACATAAATCCAAAATCCCATTCTATAAACTTCCCTACACTATTCTATTCACAATTCATAATAGTAATTTATTATATCGGGGGACAGTCAGCCAATTTATACACTAGGTACAAGTTAGGCTTATATCAAGGTCCCCCTCCCCCCCTAAGGGTCTAATTAATGACCCCTCCCCAGAATCCAACCTCGCAACAAGCTGATTGACTCCTGGGGTACCTAGGTGGACAGGAACATTAGGTGATAGAAAGCGCTCCCAAACTTTTCAGTCCGGGCGCAGGATTCGAACCAGGATTTCTCGATTGAGTCGAGAGCGAACCCCGACTGTACTACCGGGACCCTTTAAAAAGTACTCCGAATATGAGTGATAGAGTATCAGTGCTGTCGATGGGGAGACCTCCAGGTAGCCTGGGTTCGAATCCACCAGGGGGTCAAAGTGATATATGTGCTTGGGGGCAAATCAAGCATTGCTCATATGTATATATACAATTTATTTAAATATATTTATATATAAGGATGAGTAGCAGCAGTGATGGCTGTCACTCTAGTAATTAAGTGTTTTTGGCTCGTCAGTTGTCCCATGCCTAACACGTCACGCGCTCGTCACCTGCTTGTCACCTGCTCGTCATCTGTTTGTCACCTGATCGTCACCTCCTTGTCACCTGATCGTCACCTGTTTGTCATCTTATCGTCACCTGATCGTCACCTGCTTGTCACCTGCTCGTCACCTGCTTGTCACCTGCTCGTCACCTGCTTGTCACCCTTCACGTGGACCGTGTCGTATACCTGCCCGTCACCTGGACATAGTCTTCACCTGCTCATCGACGGAACACAAAAATCTCCCCTTTTGCATGCTGCCAGCTCCACCACCTGAGAAATCACCTTTAAGGCCTGGGAGCTAACTCGCTGTCTTCCCCTCCCACTTCCCTTCCTCTCCCCTTCCTCTCCCACCTGCCTCACTTTCCCCCTCCCTCTCCCACCTGCCTCACTTCCCTCTTCCACCTGCCTTCCATTTGTAAATCGTGTGTACTGTGCTTTTCATTCATGAACAAGGGGGGTTAGACTTCTGGATTATCGAGCGCTTGGCCACTGCTTTGTGAATGGGCTGCCCACTTCAGCCCGTCCTGTAAACAAAGACCCAAAGTCCATTCCAGGCACCCGCCAAACCCCCTGTTTATGAATGAAAATCTGTTTACACACGACTCACAACTGATGACGTCCGAACACTTCCGGAACAAGTGCTTCGCTGACAACTTTCGTTCGAACCACAACGCTGTAAATGCTTCACCCGCGCGCTCCAAGTGTAAATAGTTAGTAACAGAACTTTAACTCCTAACTTAACCTAATCCTAAGCAAGCATTAAATTCTAATATACATAATATTAATTTATATTTGAGAAAAGGGCGAGCTTGAATACACGGTGCGTTAATATTGATGAAAGCGTTCGTGGGGGGTTATATATATATATATATATATATATATATATATATATATATATATATATATATATATATATATATATATATATATATATATATATATATATATAACTCACTTCTGCACAAGCTTCTGCTCTGCGTTTTATTACGACTCAGACGCTAAAATGATACCAATAAAATCTAGTAATTATTTCTGGCCAGTAATTACATACGAGATTGGCTTCCTGTGATTACTTAGGCACGTGACTGATTAAATACTGAGTGAGATACATATAGTTCCGTGATTTTTCATACTATATCACCATGTCTGAATGTTAATGATCATGTAAATTGAACTAACACTTACGGAGCTACTTAAACTGTGTGAATATATTGGACTCTGTTATATCTGGATTGGAATTTTTTATGAATTTTCCCTCACTCTTTCTAGCTTAGTTTATTTACTATTCTAAGACACTTTCTAATTTCTCTGTGGCTCGTTTTGGGCAAGGAGTTTACTTCTTTGGCCACATATTCGTGCACCACTCTTGTCCAATAGTTTCCCTTTGTTTACCGCATAAACTCCCAAGAGAACTTTACATGCGGTCATCATATCTTTTCTGTTAACTTTCTACTTCAGTGATAAGAGGTTCAATTGAGCTATATCGCATAGGTTTTTCTATTTATGGGGCTAGTCTTGTATCATATATCTCAACTTTCTCCAGCTGCATATTCCATATGTGGTCTGATGTGTGGTATGCATTGATTTGGACTTTCTTTTAAGATTGAAGAAGGTGGGCTTAAGATTGGCCAACCTGCCATGTTCGCCTCTTCATATCCAGATGGCGCTGGCTTCATAAACTTTGAACGTTGTAATGTGTTCCTCCAGGTCCGTTACTCTGCCTGGCGTTTCTCAACAACTGTATTGCATTTAATTGAAATCCAGCAGCCACTTTTCAGACCATTCTTCCAATTGTTACAGGTCTTCCTGTAGCCTCTCGCAGACGTCTGTGCTCAACTTCCTTATAATTTCACATCTTATTCAACAATGACCAAAGCCAATTCATCCTTGTGGGAAATTATTAATATATAGTTTGGGAATTAAAATCGACTCCCAGGAAGTTTTATCTTCCATATCTACCTTAGCACCTTCGTTTTCCACTTCAAAACTTTCTCAATCATTTCAGCTCGTTTCTTGAACCTATTGATGGTCTGTGCGAGAACTTTGAACAGTCCAGAAATACGACTTCTACCCAGCCAACCAGCCTGATTCGTACGTCAGGCTGAGAGCAGCCGCGTCCAACAGCCTGGTTGACCAGTCCAGCAACGAGGAGGCCTGGTCGACGACCGGACCGCGGGGACGCTAAGACCCGAAAGCACCTCAAGGTAACCTCAAGGTAACCACCCTTCTATGTCCTTTCTGATTTTTGTCGACTTGTAATAGAGTGTATTAAGGGTTCAGTGGTAGGATTTACCTTTGAACTTAGTTTACTTTTTCGATATATAGGACATTCTTGCCAGATAATATGATTTTTTGTTATGTTTTCTTCCACGTTGATTGGGATGTTTGCTAGAACCAATAATGTAGTTTTGAGCTCCCTTTTATCCATTTTTTTTTGTAAATTTTTGCTTCACTGGCAGTTTTCCAGCTTTGAGGTAGTTCCCCAGCTTTTTATTTGTGTATTTCTGACAGTTGCCAGTATAGAGATATGGCTCCATCTACTACCATCCATGCTGAAATATCGTGAGGTCCCATATGACCTTTGTTGAATCTAATGCAGGGAATGTTCCCTTCGTCTCTGGTAATTTCCATGTCCTCTTGTGATGGGATGGATAAACTTTCTATGGGCTCAGACAGCTCCATTTATTATATATTGTGAAAATCTCTCTGAATCGTGTGTTGAGCTCACACACTTCCTTATCGTTCCCTGTGAGCGTGTCCCTCCTCAGGTTCAGCAACATGCCATTCTCAAATTGTCTCTGCTTCGTGTCTCACTTTTAGACATTTCTTTCCGTACCTCTGTACCTTCCTTCTTCCTTCCTTCTGTACCTCTGCATTCTGAAGTCTTTTCTGTCCTGTAGTTTTATCTGTGATTGCGAGCTTTGCCTCCTGGCAGTGCTGGTTAAATCATTGGTTATAACAACCTATTTTGTATTATATTTGAGATGGATAGTGTCCAGAGGCGTGCCATCAGACTAGTCCCAGAGCCGAGAGGCACGAGTTACAAGGACACACGGAACTAAACCTCACACTCCTGGGAGATATAACAAACTTTAGAAGCATAATTACATACAGAATTCTCACGATAATTGGTAATTAAAACAAATAGGCTGTTTAAGAAAGGACAGACTGAACCTAGAGGACACAGACGGACAGGAAGTATTTACAGAAGCCAGCAGTCACTGGTTCTAGCATCATTATACTCAGCGGGGGACACTCACCCTGGGGGAGGCACAGTGGGCGCAGGAGTTGGCGAGGTGTGGGTGATCGTCCCCGAGAGGGGGCGGCCCTGGGTCTTCCGGTAGCGTAGGGGGCGGGGGCGACCCTTGCGACGGCTCTGAACACTCCTGTGAAGACTTCGGACACTCATGTGAGGGTCCTGGACACCCCTGGAATGGGCCTGGACACCCTCGTGAGAGCCCTGGACACCTCTGTGTGGGCCCTGGACACCCCTGTGAGGGCCCTGGACACCCCTGTGAGGGTCCCGGACACCTTTGGGAGGGCCCTGGACACCCATGGAATGGTCCTGGGCACCCCTGGGAGGGCGGCCCCGCCAGAAGCCGCACGTCGAGAGGCTCCGTCGGGAGGCTGTGGAGGCGCCTGGGGACGGGGGAGACTGGGGTGAGGCGCCCCGGGGATCCCCTGGGGTGGGCGGCCGGGGTGACGAGGCAGGTGGGGTCCGCCCCAGCCTGTAGGGGTGTGAGGGTGGGCTGGCGGGAAGGGGGCAGGTCGACGGGGGCAACGCCCCCTCTGCCCACGCCCCGGGGACGCCTCATCACCGCCGCTGGACGCCTGCGGCCATCAGCTGCTCCTGCAACACCCAGCAACACAACATTAGTATCCTGCAACACCCAGCAACACAACATTAGTATCCTGCAACACCCAGCAACACAACATTAGTATCCTGCAACACAAAGTTTTAAGTACATTGTTAAGGTACTAAACGTATTAACCTAAAAACAGAACACGAAACAATAGATATTTTTTTTTAGACAAATTTACACTTAAAAACGACTTGGATCAATTCCCATTTGCTTACAGGGTAGTTGATTTATGAAACCAATTAGTAGCAGTAGGCAATTACCAATTACCATAGAACCAATTATCAGGTAACATAATAGACATGGAATCCCTTGATAGTTTCCAGCGTAGGCTACACACACACACACATATATATATACTGTATATGAACGAGTTTGGGCGGATATATAAACTGCTGCATATGGGAATATAATAAATAAAATTATTAATTTATATGTATCTATACCTATAAGTGAATGTTTGTCCAAAGTTGGGGGGGGGGACCAGACGCCCGTGGATAGTTTCATTCAAATTTTTGCAGGGGGGAGAAATGGCCAGGGAGTATGGAATTGATATGGGCTGATCTGGGAAGGCGTAGGTTAAAGTCTTCAGGAAATAATAGCTTTTATAGACACTCAAGGGCGATTTTCATTATTGCAAGTGTGAAATATATGGCGTGATTCCCGTGGAGTTTTTCGTGATGGAAATAATATGTTTTCTCAGAGGTCCGTACAGGTGTTTCAATGCTTCTTTATAATCAATTTTCTGAGAAAAGGGGAAGGAGGGGGGGGGGGCAGGGGAAAGGTGGGGAAAGGGGAGGGGAGGGGAGGGAGGAAGTAGGTGGTTGACCAAAGGGTTTGGACGAGGGGGTCAAAGGGGAGCTGGGGGTGAAGAATGGGGAAGAGAGGGTGGGGGGAGGAAAGAAACATTATCCCCGGGCGCCACCGGGTACACCCCCTAGTGTGTGTGTGTGTGTGTGTGTGTGTGTGTGTGTGTGTGTGTGTGTGTGTGTGTGTGTGTGTGTGTGTGTGTGCGCGCGTTTATACAACTTTCTTAAAACACAAAATAACACGCCTACACGACCAAGGTGACGCAATTGGCCTTTGTGTGGATTTTAATTCTAGTTTTAATGCCCAACTTTTTTTCTCACATCTGCAAACTTCAAATTACATTTTTGTGGCGAGATGAACTTTTTCGTGGAAACCTGAGAGGTTCTTTTTACCTGCTCCCAGGAAACGCAGATCAGTCAGGTAGGGTGGAGGGAAAGTGACTGGGGGGGCTAGGAGGAGAGGCTGGGTGCCAGGAGGAGAGGCTGGGTGCTAGGAGGAGTGGCTGGAGGCTAGGAGTGGTTGGTTGATAGAAGTAGCTAGGTGCTAGGAGTTGTTGGTACTAGGATAAGTCGCTGGATGCTAGCAAAAATGGCTGAATACCCAGATAAATGACTGATAGCTAGGATTAGTGGTTAATGTTTGATAACAGTGTTAGTTTCGTGTGGAAGGTTCATACTAATCTTCCAAGATTAATTTTTGTATCAATTTAATATTCTTCACTAATTACGTTTCTTCTAGAGATCTGGACATAACTTACCACCCAACAAGACACTACACTCACAGACAGATAGATTAGAGAATATTTTCATCCTGGAGGGAGCAAGATGAATGCCTCTAAGTCGGGTCTTTAAGTGTCTCGTTCAGCTTAACCTAGACTTACGATTTGACGCCAATCTAATATTAATTTTTGGTTTAGCCTAACCCAAAACGTACGAACCTAGACTTACTCACCTAACCTCATTTTTTTCAGGAATGCGTACAAACCTAGACGCCTTAAAAGCACCTTAAGCACCAAACGAAGGTGCATCGTGTGTTACTAGGCTGCAAATAGCGTTGTTTGTTGACTAATGCGTCTTCAAACGCTAGATGTTAGACTTGAAGTCATGTGTTTAGATATATTAGGGCCCTAATGTGTGTGTGTGTCCCTGAAACACTCGAAGTATTGCACCAGGGATAATACAGAGTCCCTCGCTTACAGTAGGGTGGTGGTGGATCAGGGTACAGCACTCATCTGCTGTATCTTGGGCCAATTGCATGTTTGGCCTTTTATCATCATCGAAAGAATAGTCAACTCTCGTAATGAGGTGGAAACTGGCCTGGCTGTGGGGTTCCATAAGTCTATATTTTCAGACTTATTGAGTACACTCGCTTTACTTATACCACCAAATATCATTCCCTTTGTCAATGCTGTTCCTTTTTCGCCTATAAGCCGTTTTAAAATTGATGTGGTCAAAATTCTAAGGCCTATTTCTTTCTTTGTCTAATGTTGTCCTGTTTCTTTGTCTATATATATTTATTCTTCTTACTCCTTCTGTTCCTCTACTTTACTACAGTATTTCCTTTTCTCCTGACTCTCTTTATTCCTCCATCTCTATCTCGTCATATCTAATTTCTCCTTCCTTCCATCTCCCCCTTTTTACTTTCTTCTCTTCTGCCTCTTCCTCTCCGCTCCTCTCTCATTCTCATTCTTCCTACATTATCCCCCTCGCACACCCTCAATTTCGACCTTCTATCCTCCTTCTTCTCTAGTTCTACCCCCCCCCCTTCTTCTTTATTCATCTCCCTACTTCCCTTCCTACCCTGCTACTATCCATCTCTCCCTACCCTCCATCTCTCCCTACCCTCCACCCCTCCCTACCCTTCACCCCTCCCTATCATCTGTTCTGCCTCAACTAGGTCATTCCCGAGATGTAAACAATGATTTATTTTCTCCCATTTCTCGCAGCCCTTTGTCAGGCTTGGAGGGGGGGTGGGGGGAGGGGATGAGGAGGGTCCATTAAAGAGAGGAAGGGTAGGAGGAATAGGTAGGAGGAAGAAAGGAAAGAAGGGAAGGAGCAAGAGGAAGAGAAAGGGGATTTGCGGGAGTCTGGCAAGTAAGAGATGAACTTAAACAATAAACAGAGATGTAATAAGAATGACTGTAAGAGTAGAGACGAGCCAGTGAGACACAGAATGGGAGATTAAAAGAAAGGGAGGAACGGAATGGAAGAAATGCATAGAGGGAGACGGAGAGGGAGAGTAGGAATGACAACTGGGAAGACAGCAGACGGAAGGTTAAGTGAGGGTGTGAAGGAAGTGAATAGGAATAAGTAACGAAACGTAAAGTAACATTCTATAAAGCACAGAGAGTAGAACAGCTCTCAGATAACGAAGAGTCTCGTAAAATAGTTGAAAACAGTGTCAAATTTTGCTGAAAATGTGCACATATGTAAATAAGGAACGAGTAAATGGGTATGGAATAACAGAACGGATAAGATGAAGGACAGAGAGATAGGAGAACAAGGAAGCAAAAGACCATTGGAGACAGAGGGGGCTAGACGCAAGGAAGGAAAGGAGAGGTTTGCTAATAGTTCATACGATTTTTGTAGCGATCAAAGGCGGAGGTGAACTCCGGACTCGAGTGTTGGAGTTCCGGACCGCCCCTACACAGCCATCGTGACTGTCCAAGAATAGGAGGGAAGGCAGAAAGCAAGGAGATTAGAAAAAAAAGAAGGTAGGAATGCAAGAAAGAAGGAATTATTATTGACGCGAGAAAAAAATCGGTGGGTTCTAATCCCAATTTTAATAACTCTCACCAAGGTGTAATTGTAGTGGTTGAGTTTCAGCTCTTGGGCCCCCGTCTAATGCCTGTGAAAGTGATTCGAATAATAAAAGGAAGGAAGGTAATGAAAGAAAGATGTAAAGGAAGTATGAGAGTATTCATGAGGGGGAGTGTCCCTCCTTCCTCCCCCCTTGCTCACTACTCTTCCACTACCCCTCCCCTTCCTCACTACTCTTCCACTACCCCCTCCCCTTGCTCACTACTCTTCCATTAACCCCTCCCCTTCCTCACTACTCTTCCACTACCCCCTCCCCTTCCTCACTACTCTTCCACTACCCCCTCCCCTTCCTCACTACTCTTCCACTACCCCTCCCCTTGCTCACTACTCTTCCACTAACCCCTCCCCTTGCTCACTACTCTTCCACTACCCCCTCCCCTTCCTCACTACTCTTCCACTAACCCCTCCCCTTCCTCACTACTCTTCCACTAACCCCTCCCCTTCCTCACTACTCTCCCATTAACCCCTCCCCTTCCTCACTACTCTTCCACTAACCCCTCCCCTTCCTCACTACTCTTTCACTACCCCCTCCCCTTCCTCACTACTCTTCCACTACCCCTCCCCTTGCTCACTACTCTTCCACTAACCCCTCCCCTTCCTCACTACTCTTCTACTACCCCCTCCCCTTCCTCACTACCCATGGTAGTGCTTCCTTTCATCCTTACGACTCATCTGAAGTCCGTGTTCCCCGCCAAGGTGGGTCGTTGCATCCCTCGCGCGCTAAGCAGGTCTTCATCTTGCACGTTGTTGAAAGGTCTCTTGGACAGTGTAGTTGTGAAGCGCCTTCAACCGGTTCTAATACATTAACCCGTCTTCGAGCAGTCAACCTCAGATCAGATCAGCCGTCTAAATAGGGTTCAAATAACTTCCTATTTTTCATTTCGTACTGTTGACATCACTTCAAATTGCTCCCATTACGACTCCCTTCATGTCTCCTCCCTCATGACTTTCACCCATGACTTTCACTCATCACTTTCCCTCATGATGAAATGCTCACAGAAGACCTGCTACAACCGATTCCACTGTTATTAGCTTCACTAGTGTCATCATTATCACCTGTGGCACCAATGACACCTATGGCACCAGTAACACCTATGACACCAGTAACACCTGTGGCACCAGTAACACCTATGGCACCAGTAACACCTGTGGCACCAGTGACACCTGTGGCACCAGTAACACCTATGGCACCAGTAACACCTGTGGCACCAGTGACACCTGTGGCACCAGTGACACCTGTGGCACCAGTACTCTCAAAGCTAAAACTGTGCCACCAGAGAGGACAGTATCACGAATGTTAGGTGCCAGTGACACCTGATAAGCTAACGAGGTAATTTACACATAATCAACACATCAAGCTCTGCGAGGTCCTCACTAACTCATCTTAAAGGCACCGTGGGGGGGGGAGTGGACGGAAGAGAGTGGGAATCAGAGAGATTAAGAGAGGAAAAGAGAAAACGACTCCCCCCTGGTGTAAGAAATCCCTTGATATAATACGGGAATCCGGTCAATCACCACTTTAAAGGCTCGTTCCTCATCACCACTCTAAAGGGTCGTTCCTCATCACCACTTTAAAGGGTCGTTCCTCATCACCACTCTAAAGGGTCGTTCCTCATCACCACTCTAAAGGGTCGTTCCTCATCACCACTCTAAAGGGTCGTTCCTCATCACCACTCTAAAGGGTAGTTCCTCATCACCACTCTAAAGGGTCGTTCCTCATCACCACTCTAAAGGGTAGTTCCTCATCACCACTCTAAAGGGTAGTTCCTCATCACCACTCTAAAGGGTCGTTCCTCATCACCACTCTAAAGGGTAGTTCCTCATCACCACTCTAAAGGGTAGTTCCTCATCACCACACGCAAACCACATGGTGCCAATGACAGTAGTCTCAAGGGACGAGGAATAAAGTGAGAGGAGAAGTTTGTGAAGAATATCAGTAGAAGAGAGACGAGAATTAGACAAAGTGAAATAGAGAAATCCTCTTCAGGACTTGTGAAACCTTCGCTGCATTTTGCTGCCTGGTTTGTCTCTAACTGTCCTGCAAGGTAGAAGACAATGCAAGCAGTGAGGGGAAGCAGGCAGCGCAAGCAGTGAGGGAAGCAGGCAGCGCAAGCAGCGAGGGAAGCAGGCAGCGCAAACAGTGAGGGGAAGCAGGCAGCGCAAGCAGTGAGGGGGAAGCAGGCAGCGCAAGCAGCGAGGGAAGCAGGCAGCGCAAGCAGTGAGGGAAGCAGGCAGCGCAAGCAGTGAGGGAAGCAGGCAGCGCAAGCAGCGAGGGGGAAGCAGGCAGCGCAAGCAGAGAGAGAACCAATATTCGTGTCTCAGAAAACCAGCTTTTTCCTTCCTTTACACTCAATAATAATCAGATAATCTCGCCATTATTGTGTTGAATAACAAATCATTTGAATATTTGGATATCAAGGGGAGAAAAGCCCGTGTTGCATGCATGCAATATTTTCGTGAGCATAACTGGATATCTTGCACATCTCCAGTTACTCCAGATCTGCAAGATATCTGGATCTTGCAGATCCAGAGATACTTCCCATCTTTTCGAGTCTGTTTTCTCTCGATACGTTTATAGCTCACGCCTCTATCACATTTTCTACGTGTTCATGTCCCGTATATATATATATATCATTCACAGACTCATGAATTTAAAAAGCCAGGCAACTGTTTTTAAATTAAATTTTGTCCCAAATCCGGTTTACATAATTTAGGAGAGAGATGCTGGGTCAAAGCGGGTTATGAATGAACGTGAACGGAACACAAGTATTTGGGCGATCAGCTGATAGCGAGTGATATCATAATTCGGTCAATGGGGTATGTGAATGAACGTCACGGAACACAGCTCGCGTGGGTGATCAGCTGACGGTGTGTCATGTAAACAAAGTGTTTGTGAGGGCGAGGTTATGGGATGGAATGAGAAGGGGAAGGTAGTGGAGAGGTGGAACGGAATTGAATGGAAACGGGAATGAAGAAGAGGAGAGCGAGAGAGGGAGGGATAGCGTGCGGTTATGGGAGTTACAAATGGGATAAATAAAGATTTAGCAATTAAATACATTATAATGTAATTAGCTACGATTATAATTTTTTTTAAACCCATTCGCCTGTTTAGACAGAACGTTTTGTAACTATGTGTACCATAGTACACACATTGACGTACTAAGCAATTACATAGTACAACTTTGTACTATTCACTTTATAGTCCGAAAAAAATAAACCTAAAAAATATTTAAATATTCCTAGGCCTAGTAATAGTCGTGTATTAGGCCTAATATGGTTAGGTTAGGTTAGTTTGTCCTTACAACTAAAGTAGAAAATAGTTTTCCGGTTTGTCCAACTATCAATAGTATCGATTTCTACTATCTACATAATTTCGTAAGTAAGTACTATTTAGTACTAAAAAAAACAAGAGAAGGGGCTAAATTATTTAGTAACTAGTTGCCTATGCAACCCGTCCTCTTCAAGGCCAAAAACTGCCGTACAAGAAAATTATAGTGGCTCGCGAAATTGACACAATGTCCCGTTTTCTGTCCTTGGGTCCTTTGGTAGGTTAGGATAAGGCACTTTAGTACGATATTTTCTTGACGTTGGGAACGGTCGCTAGGGGAAACGGGAGGGAAATATCAGGAGAAAGCACCAAGATATTACGAAAATATACCATTTGGAAGGGGTCAGGATAAAGATTTGGGATAGGACGGGGGGAAAGGAATGGTGCCCAACCACTTGGACGGTGGGAAAGAACGCGCGGAGTTATATAGGTACTAGCATCCTATATGAGCATATATTTAGTAACTATACTTCCCTATATGGGTATTTATATAGGCACTATAGTAGTCTATAGGAGCATTTATTTAGCAATAGCCTAGATGATTATTAAATAAATGGTTGCGTATGTATTTACTTAGCAGCTAGCAGTCTATAGCTTAAGGTGACTTGTATACTCGCCTCGCTCCCAATTTTGTTTGGGTTCGAGCCGTGGCCAGAGACGATTTGACTCTGCCACCAATCACTAACTGTTCCACTCGGCAGTTGCTGGGAACATCATTGTTAACCAATCCGTCGTTATCCAGTGAAAATGTAGTCGGGTAAGGCCTAATATGAGGTATGGGAAGGGGGAACTTAACCAGGGGCCAGATTCACAAAAGCACTTACGCAAGCACTTACGAACCTGTACATCTTTTCTCAATCTTTGTCGGCTATGTTTCCAATTATTAAATAGTTTACAAGGATGAAAACTTCCCATTCAACTGTTGTTATTGTTATAAACAGCCTCCTGGTGTTTCGGAGCTCATTAACTGTTTAATAATTGGAAACAAAGCCGCCAAAGACTGAGAAAAGATGTACAGGTTCGTAAGTGATTGCGTAAGTGCTTTCGTGAATCTGGTAACTGGAGTTAGACACAAGCTCCACCTTGTACCAACTATCTATGGATGAGGTTATCAAACATGAGTAGAAAAGTCCGTAGAGTTGTTAAAGTTAAGATTTTTGCCCAGAGTCTGCCAGTGCAGACCGCTTATCACATGCCTCTGTATGACTAAGCATCCTGTGTGATGGGGATTTTTTTTAGCACCACGAAGCTAACTTTTTGACACACTGCACTCCCCTTCACATAGTCTAGGGCAGCTGCACAAATGCGGATATACCTAATGTGATAAAAACAAAATGTTTGATTTTCGAGTACAGTACTTCATATTCCTTTGAGTCAGCATTAATTGGGTATAAATATTGGACGTGGTGCAATGCGCGGAGAAGATACTATGGATGGAGAAGAAGATACTATGGATGGAGCAGAAGATACTATGGATGGAGCAGAAGATACTATGGATGGAGAAGAAGATACTATGGATGGAGCAGAAGATACTATGGATGGAGAAGAAGATACTATGGGTGAAGAAAAAGATACTATGGGTGGAGCAGAAAATACTATGGATGGAGAAGAAGATACTATGGGTGGAGCAGAAGATACTATGGATGGAGCAGAAGATACTATGGGTGGAGAAGAAGATACTATGGGTGAAGAAAAAGATACTATGGGTATCTTCTGATGCATTTAGAAGTAGTGGGCCACTGCCTAATTCCAAAAGTGAAATAATCATCCTCGATATATATCACTGCATCATATCACAGAGAGCAGTAAAGAGCTAAAAGAAAGAGCTGTATAAGCCCGAGTAGTTGAGGGCGGCTCTTTCAGTCTCATACTGGTAGGACCGAAGGTAGGATCTTCGAACCTTAGTACCCCTTAAACCCCACTCCAGGTCCCCATGGCTTGGTATTTACCAAGCTTGGTAACCCCCCATTAAGCTTTTTGAACCTGGACTGGGATTTATGGGGTTTTCTAGGGAGTACTGAGAAGGAATACTATAGGTTAATTTCAAAATAATGTTTAGTATTAATTTTGAACACATTAACTTTTTACAATATCGTAGAAATCAGTACTTAATGTTTTATAGTACTGTAAATAATAATAAATACTTACAAATGTAATTATTATGAGTAAATTGGGTGAAGCTATCCACAGGCGTCTGACCTACAACTGCAGACACTCTTAACTTATAGATATATAAAGACTTTTATATCTTATAAAATCCCTGCTAAATAAAAATAAAATGTTTCCTCAGAATATATATATATATATATATATATATATATATATATATATATATATATATATATATATATATATATATGCGAACAAGCCTGAATGGTCCCCAGGACAATATGCAACTGAAAACTCACACCCCAGAAGTGACTCGAACCCATACTCCCAGATGCCACGCAACTGGTATGTACAAGACGCCTTAATCCACTTGACCATCACGACCGGACATAATGAGGTGATAGCCGAGGCTATTTGAACCACCCCACCGCCGGCACTCGGATAGTAATCTTGGGCATAGCATTTTACCAAATCACCTCATTCTTTGGGGCACACGTGAGGAACACAAATGCGAACAAGCCTGAATGGTCCCAGGACAATATGCAACTGAAAACTCACACCCCAGAAGTGACTCGAACCCATACTCCCAGATGCCACGCAACTGGTATGTACAAGACGCCTTAATCCACTTGACCATCACGACCGGACATAATGAGGTGATAGCCGAGGCTATTTGAACCACCCCACCGCCGGCACTCGGATAGTAATCTTGGGCATAGCATTTTACCAAATCACCTCATTCTTTGGGGCACACGTGAGGAACACAAATGCGAACAAGCCTGAATGGTCCCCAGGACAATATGCAACTGAAAACTCACACCCCAGAAGTGACTCGAACCCATACTCCCAGATGCCACGCAACTGGTATGTACAAGACGCCTTAATCCACTTGACCATCACGACCGGACATAATGAGGTGATAGCCGAGGCTATTTGAACCACCCCACCGCCGGCACTCGGATAGTAATCTTGGGCATAGCATTTTACCAAATCACCTCATTCTTTGGGGCACACGTGAGGAACACAAATGCGAACAAGCCTGAATGGTCCCCAGGACAATATGCAACTGAAAACTCACACCCCAGAAGTGACTCGAACCCATACTCCCAGATGCCACGCAACTGGTATGTACAAGACGCCTTAATCCACTTGACCATCACGACCGGACATAATGAGGTGATAGCCGAGGCTATTTGAACCACCCCACCGCCGGCACTCGGATAGTAATCTTGGGCATAGCATTTTACCAAATCACCTCATTCTTTGGGGCACACGTGAGGAACACAAATGCGAACAAGCCTGAATGGTCCCCAGGACAATATGCAACTGAAAACTCACACCCCAGAAGTGACTCGAACCCATACTCCCAGATGCCACGCAACTGGTATGTACAAGACGCCTTAATCCACTTGACCACAGTAATCCAAGATTACTATCCGAGTGCCGGCGGTGGGGTGGTTCAAATAGCCTCGGCTATCACCTCATTATGTCCGGTCGTGATGGTCAAGTGGATTAAGGCGTCTTGTACATACCAGTTGCGTGGCATCTGGGAGTATGGGTTCGAGTCACTTCTGGGGTGTGAGTTTTCAGTTGCATATTGTCCTGGGGACCATTCAGGCTTGTTCGCATTTGTGTTCCTCACGTGTGCCCCAAAGAATGAGGTGATTTGGTAAAATGCTATGCCCAAGATTACTATCCGAGTGCCGGCGGTGGGGTGGTTCAAATAGCCTCGGCTATCACCTCATTATGTCCGGTCGTGATGGTCAAGTGGATTAAGGCGTCTTGTACATACCAGTTGCGTGGCATCTGGGAGTATGGGTTCGAGTCACTTCTGGGGTGTGAGTTTTCAGTTATATATATATATATATATATATATATATATATATATATATATATATATATATATATATATATATACACGACTCTTTCACTTCCGTGCACCCAAGATTGACTTAACATCTCACACGTCTATAACAAGCAATGATCTATGCTTTTGAAGAACACTTTTGACCTTATTACTAAATTCGTCATAATTTTGACAAAAGATGGCCGTCGTTCCTGCTTTATTGAGAATGTTATTCAACACTAAAAGTATCTCACGTTACCATAATTATAAATGATTGTTTACAGGACGAAACAACTTTGTCGTTGTTTCCTTATTAATAACTCAATTATATCTTAAGAAATAACTAACTTGGTGAATGTTGGTAGTAATAATTGCCATTCATTCAATAAATTACACAATTTCTTTAATAGTAAAGATAAACTAACGCTGAAATTTTGGCTCCGAATATCATGAAGGGTGTATTTCGCACCACGGTCCACAATATTTCGTGTACATGATTCACGAAAGCTTGAGGCCTAGGTGAACGAAGACTTCCGAAGATGGTGAACGATATCATGTAGGGGAAGGTGAACGATAACTTTATCACTGGAAGTAGACGGTATATTTGGGCATCGACAGTTTCGAAAATAAAAATAATCAACGTGAAGACAGGCAGACAGACAAAATAAGACAGACAGACAGAAACAGACAGAAGGGTCTCCCAGACACAAGAAACAGGTATAGCCCCCCACCAGGGGAGGGAAGGACACTGACAGCGAACGAGAGGTCTCAGTAAACAGTGTTTTTTCTCAAGAGTTATCGAACTGTTGTGTGGATAATGAGAGCGGGCGAGCGACAGGGCAGGAGAAGAGTAGGTGAAAGAGAGATTCAGAGAGAGAGAGAGAGAGAGATTCAGAGAGAGATTCAAAGAGAGATTCAGATAGAGATTCAGAGAGAGAGAGAGAGAGAGAGAGAGAGAGAGAGAGAGAGAGAGAGAGAGAGAGAGAGAGAGAGAGAGAGAGAGAGAGAGAGAGAGAGAGAGAGAGAGAGAGAGAGAGAGAGAGAGAGGAGAGAGAGAGAGAGAGAGAGAGAGAGAGAGAGAGAGAGAGAGAGAGAGAGAGAGAGAGAGAGAGAGAGAGGAGAGAGAGAGAGAGAGAGAGAGAGAGAGAGAGAGAGAGAGAGAGAGAGAGAGAGAGAGAGAGAGAGAGAGAGAGAGAGAGAGAGAGAGAGAGAGGAGGCAGAGTAAGAAGTGAAGAAGTAAAAAAACGAGCAAGAATTAATGACAAAGAAAGTCAAGGAACAACAAAAAAGTTCTAATAATTAAAAACATAATAATAGGTATTGATATAACAATAATTGTGCAACATACCTGCAACACATGTGTAAAACTCACATACTCAACCTTGCGCAACACACAAGTGTTTCATCGTCTACTTCGTGCAGCGCAAAGTTGCAATTTACAACCGGTGCTGTGTGTGTGTGTGTGTGTGTGTGTGTGTGTGTGTGTGTACTCACCTAGTTGTGCTTGCGGGGGTTGAGCTCTGGCTCTTTGGTCCCGCCTCTCAACTGTCAATCAACAGGTGTATAGGTTCCTGAGCCTATTGGGCTCTATCATATCTACACTTGAAACTGTGTATGGAGTCAGCCTCCACCACATCACTTCCTAATGCATTCCATTTGTCAACCACTCTGACACTAAAAAAGTTCTTTCTAATATCTCTGTGGCTCATTGGGGCACTCAGTTTCCACCTGTGTCCCCTAGTGCGTGTGCCCCTTGTGTTAA